ATCGGGCCGACGTCGGACCGAGATCATTGCTGAGGTCCAGCCAACGTCGGGGCGACGTCGGATCTACATCGGCCGCTGTTTTGACCGTTAAAATAATATAAAATACATGTTTCATGTTTCATAAAGAGCTTTTGTATTCAAAATGTCCTCAGGAAACTCAAATCTTCCTCCACGCCGCAACCCCCTGATCCGGACTGGACGGGAAACTTTATCCCATTTAGGATTGCCCGTAAGCCGAGCTCGCCCGTATCCGGGTGCGGTGAGTGCTTGGGGGCTGCTCGGCCTATCCTTTGGTCAGGCTCAGCCCCGGCAACTCACCAGGGCCGGGCCCAGTTCATATAGAAAGGCCAGTCGGCAAGTGTCACTTTGCCAAAGTGCCACTTATCAAAGGGACACTTTGGGAAACGTTGGTGCAGGTGTGTAAGAGTGGCTATATGAATCCATTGTGGGGTCGCCCTTTCCAATAAGTGTCACGTAACAGCAATGGGACCAGGGACTCTATATGAACTGGACCCAGGGTGCTCGCCAAGAAGACCAATGTCTCCATCCTATCATCCTTCCGGCTCTGAAATGGTCTTGTCAGACCGAAAGGGCATAACCCAACAAAACAAACTAAATGCGCCATCTGCCTGCGTGGTGTAGTGGTTAGCGCACTAACCTCGCGTTCAAATGACACGGGGTTCGAATCCCATCGCCGGCTGATGCTTTTGGCGTGTTGTCCCAGTAAACATGCCGACGTCGGCGACTGGGGGGCTCGAATCCCGCCGCCGGTTGATATTTTTGGCGCGTTGTCCCAATAGGTAAACATGCCGACGTCGGCCCCGTCGGTCCAACGACAAACGATCTCGTCAACCTCGGCAAACGACCTCGGTCCGACGTCGGCTCGACGTCGGCTGGACTTCGGCTGGACGTCGGAACATGCGGGCATATCCGACGTCCAGCCGATGTCGGGCCGAGGTTGAACCGACGTTGGGCCGACGTCGGCATGTTTACTGGGTAGTATCCTCTAGAAGTCTCAAAACTTGTACCTATATCTCGGATTTCTCCTAGAGGTCACATGAGGACAGGCCGATCGCGTGACGTCACCATTACAAGTCAATGGGGAAAATATTGAAACTGTAATTTTGACGCCGAGAATTATCTAAACCTAGCTCAAGCAAATGGAATCGCAATTTCATGCACTTCTTGCAATGCCCAATGCTTCACTTTTGCATCTTTAACTTAGCGTGACGTCATAGGTCACAAGTTTTTTCGTCAATAACTCCTGATAAAATTGAACTGGCAAGTTGGAAAAGTCGCCAATGGACTCGGGAAGACCTATCGAATCGAATGATATACGATATAACCTCCTCCGACCGACTTCGTGACCTGAGTGCCTCTGACCTGACATTGACCCGATGTGAACACCTTATGTTGACCCCACCTAAATAAAAGTGTACCATTTGACGCACCGGAGCATGACAAACATGATGGTACTAAAATCGCGACTCTGCGCCGTTTTTAGGCAAAGTTATTTCTCAAAACCCGAAATCGTATTTTGGCCCTCGGGGCACTTGACCTGACCCTCAGAGGCCACCAGCTTTGACCTGAGACTTTTAAACCGCGCATCAATCGCTGCGTTCCCGGTCCCGTAACGGCACACATGCTTGTTTTTCCCGCGAGGCTAGCTCAATTAGGGCGAGGGAGTCGTAGGTACCCGCCCACTCTCGCGGCCGAGGCGTAGGTATGTAACAAAACTAAGTCTGGTGATGATTGATGCAAGATTCTTACAGATAATGGTTGATGAAGGTAGGGTATAAGTTATTAAAGATAAGTGAAACAAATTTGCAGCCCTCAGTAGCCTTGATTTATGCATGAAGAGTTAAAGAAGTTAGAACAACTGTAAGCTGGAGGCTCAGCTCTTCAGTTTCTACCTATGCATGCAAACACAATAAACTCAATGGAAGATTAACTAGGGTTACCCGCGTGCTCCGCAACGCGAAGAAGGGTTATTTTTGACCCGTGGGTATTGGGTTGGTCTGTGTCGGTTTGGTTGGTATCCATTTCGTTCGATTGCTTTTTGACGGCCAAGCATTTTGTAATAAAACAAAAAGATACATCGCATCGAGGTGCCCGTGTCGTATTATCATGCGTTCTACTTAAGAATGATTTGAAAACTGGCGTGAAATCTTTTGAGGGCCATCGCTGAATTTCGCTAAAAATGACAATGTAATGGTTTGGAACATTTACATTTTTAAGAATACTGTTGCTCATCATGCAAACATGAAGAGTGAATGTTGGACAGAATTGAATGCTCTTTCCAACGGTGCCATTTTCAATTGCCAACCGTATCAGGTTATACAGCAAAACCCGTGTAATTAAAAAGTGGCACATCATCGACAAACACCATTTTCTCTAGCGATTTGTACCACCTTGGCGTCGATCAATTAGCTATTCACAATTTTTATATGAGAGGCGGTACCTTTCTCTTGCAAATAGGCGTTGATTCAACTCGCTCCATTTAACGGTCACCTAAAAATAAAATTAATTCCAAAATCCCTCAAAAACCGCAATTTTTCAAATAAAAGTGCCCTCTCCGGTGCACGTGGCGCGTGCTATCCTCTGCATTGCACACCATTCAATAGCCCCTTCAATTCTGTACACGATGCTATTTCCACGTGCCGGTCGGACCCCTGGTCACCAAGATATTGCACGGGAACTGGACCCGTGTCGGCCAAAATTAGCCGTTTTCGCCCGATTTCGCACGCCGATTTATACATGTAAAGTCTATGACGCGAATTTGCACTTTTTGGGCACGCGCCACGCGCTCCCTATCAATCCGATCGAGCTGAGACCCCTCAAAGGCACGTCGCGCATCCTTGATCTATAAGTTGTGCAAATTTCACCGGGCTAGGTGCAACGGTCTGGCCTGTAGTCCACGCAAAGCAGCACCAAGTCGGGACCTCGGTAACGGACAGACGCACCCTCCTCAAATAGTAATATAGACAAGCGGCAAGCCGCTTGCTTCGCGTCGCGAGGATATGGTTTGCGCATAATTGGCCAGTTCGAGTAGGAAAGGTTTTGTGTAATAGTGACTTCTAGAAGCCTTGATGTACGCGAAAAGGTGAATGATGGGGTCCAAATGGATAAAATTCAAATAAATGGGACATTTCAGGTCACATAGGTCACAGTGGGTCACGCTAGGTCAGTTTTAGTCACCTCAGATCACCTTTGGTCATGACAGGTCACTGGGATCCCCTCAGGTCGCGATAGGTCAGGTCAGGTCACAGGGGTGAGCTCAGGTCACGATAGGTCAGGCCAGGTCACTTACATTACGTTAGAGCAGGTCAATTAGGTCACGATGGGTCAAGCCAGGTCAATGGTTGCTGGGTCAGGTGACGTGTCACGACCACATCGCGTGTCACATTGGGTCGCAACATCACTACCCTTACCTAGCCCAAACTAACCGAACCTAAACTAACCAAACTAACCCAACCCAACCTGACCCGACTGGACATAACCTGACCTATATAGTATGTTGGTGTAAATAAGCGTTAGGCGGCACGGGCGGACATCGATAGCAGCGCCTCTATCGGTCACTAGGGAAAGCTGGGCTGTAGGCGACGAAATACCGGCTGAGTTGTCACAAGTTAAATAGGTTTATAGACATCCGTCTTGTGAAAAAGTTGAACTTTTGCCTTCAATATTTCTACAGGCAATTTTAGAAGTGCCTTCGCATAGATAACAAAACCGTTTAATTTATTTTATTCACTTCAAGCCTTCCCTATTGTTCTTGATGATGCGGGAACTATTTCTAATTAGTGTTTCTAGCTTATTAAAAGAACATATTGTGCAAACGATGAAAAAAGCATAAATGGAAGAATTTAAATGCAATTTTCTGTAACAAATAATGGTAAATTCTCTACACATCAAGGAAAAGGTGCATGCTAACTGATAATTTAAAGTTCTTGGGGCCAGTTGGTTTTTTCTTTTCTTACGTCGCCCCAATGGCCGCGAATACACTTGTGATAACGCCTATCGGACTACAATATAGTGGCAAGCAAGAATAAGTCTTATGCAAGGGATAATATCTTGTAAGGGATGCGCTTGCTTCGCGACGGAGATAAATTTGTTTTCGAAAGATATTTGATTCATATTGATGGGTCAGCTGGAAGCGGAGATACCTATAATCGGAAACGCTCCTAGGAAAATTTTGGCTAAAGAGCTTTGTTGGGTTAAATTTGGGTGACATCGGGTCAGACTGGTCACATGGGTTACCTCCAGTCAAGCCTGCTCACGGGGCTACACTGAGTCAGACCAAGACACTATGATATTATTTCACTATGATATTATGATAAACCAATATAGACAAAAGTCAATATATTAAGTTAATTTTGGTTCAAATTTCGCCCACAATCAACACTGCCTGAAGACAAATTCAGATTAGGTAATGAATACACATTACACACACAATGCACACGCACACGCGCATGCACACACTCGCTTGCAGAAAAAAAAAACAGACAATGTAGCTCAATGATGTCGTTCAGTGCAGCGTTCATTCCGACGCAGCAGACACACACACCACTCACATGGGCAAACACACAACAGGCCCGTAACACAGGAGTGTGACGCATATAAGACCTCCTCCATGACCGCCTAACTTCACAAAAGAAGGCACAGTATACTCTGGCGGCATCTAGCACCCAATACCTTATTTTAATGACACACACTGCAGCAAACAATCAACATTAGTGATGTCAGTTACAGAACATCTGAATACCGATACCAAACCAAATCCCAACATAAACCGTAAGGATATACCGATACCGAACCAACTTCAGAACATGAGGGAAATACCGACTTTTTACCAATTTCTCAGCCTTCTTATACGTAAGTGAGGGCACATTTTACCAACAAAATACCAAGTACATTAGGATTGAAATACCAAATACCAAGTTGGTATCGGTTTGGTATCGGTATACCAAAAAGTTGGTATCCGATTGACATCTCTAATCAACATACCAGACCCATAATAGATGGGTGTGACGTATATGAGACGTGCGCCCTGCTCTCTGAACTACTGCCGTGTCAGGGATACCACTCACTACTCCAAGACCTCTTGGTACACGACATTGCGGGTGGAGGTGCCCGCTACAAACACCTCCACGCCGGCAGCGGCGCCCACTCTCGACATCGCCACATACAACTGGCCGTGAGTAAAGACTGGCGAGGGCAGGTACACGCCAACTCGCTTCTTTGTCTGACCCTGGCTCCGGTTGATAGTCATTCCGAAGGCTACACTCAAAGGGAACTGTAGCCTCCGGAATGAAAACCCCAGGCCAGAGTCAGACGACGATTCGAGTGGGATGCGCGGAACGAACACACTCTCACCCCGAGCAGGGCCGGTCAGCACGCTCAGCTCGAGGACGTTGTCACCCAGGGTTTTGACCACGCACAGTGTACCGTTAACAGCGCGCGGTGCGTCCAAGTTGCGCATGAGAAGAACCGGTGCGCCGGCTTTCAGGCGAATTTTGTGAGGTGGTAGGCCGGAAATTTCCATCTTATTCAGTACCTCCGCTGTTAATGGCACGGCGTTTGTGTCGGTCATGGTGTCGACGCTGTCATACACCTTCTCTTGCCCTGGCATACTCTCCATGACGTGATCGTTGATGATTTTAGCATCCGAATTGAGGACTGTCAGAATAGTGCGCTCTTCGAGCCACTCAAGATTTTGACAATTTTGGGCCAGATCGGGGTAGATGCGCTCGGCCAGCTCGGCGAGTGATCGCGCCGGGCTGAGCACCGTTGGCGGAACCGTCACGCTGTCGAGTGTGCCAGGGCATAGAGGAAGCCGGCCGGAGCCGAGCTGCGACAGGAAGGTGGCATACTCGCCGGCCTCGAGGTCACCCTGTCGTTAGGCGGCACGGGCGGACATCGATAGCAGCGCCTCTATCGGTCACTAGGGAAAGCTGGGCTGTAGGCGACGAAATACCGGCTAAGTTGTCACACGTTGAATAGGTTTAAAGGCATCCGTCTTGTGAAAAAGTTGAACTTTTGCCTTCAATATTTCTACAGGCAATTTTAGAAGTGTCTTCACATAGATTACAAAACCGTTTAGATTATTGTATTCACTCCAAGCCTTCCCTATTGTTCTTGACGATGATGCGGGAACTATTTCTAAGTAGTGTTTCTAGCTTAGTAAAAGAACATATTGTGCAAACCGTGCAAACGATGAAAAAAAGCATAAATGGAAGATTTTAATTGCAATTTTCTCTAGCAATTAATGGTAAATTCTCTACAGATCAAGGAAAAGGTGCATGCTAACTGATACATTAAAGTTCTTGGGGCCAGTTGTTTCTTCTTTTCTTACGTCGCCCCAATGGCCGCGAATACACTTATGATAACGCCTATCGGTAGCTGCACGCGCATGTTTGTACGCAGCGTGAGGCATGTCACATACTGCCACAGCGGGGATGCTTTGAGGCAGGCACCGACAACCTGATGCCTCGCACCACCCTTCACGACCGGCAGGATCTGTTGCCAATCACCGGCAAACAGAGTCAGCAGACCGCCGAACGGCCGGTCGGTGCCCCTTAAGTCCCTCAGCGTCCGGTCCACGGCCTCTATGGCACGCCTGTGGGCCATGCCTGCCTCGTCCCACACCAGCAGGAGGCATCGGCGGATGGTATCGGCCGCTTCTCATCTCCTACTTAGGTCACACGTGGAGGTGTCCGTGAGCGAGATGGGGATCTTAAATCTCGAGTGGGCGGTCGTCCCTCCATCCAGCAGACTGGCTGCTATGCCAGACGTAGCCACAGCTATGGCCTCTCCGGCGGCGGCACGCACCGATGCCAGCAAAACATTCTCTAGGAACGTTTTACCGCTTCCTGTCGGAAGAAAACATTTATATAATGCGTTTTATAAATTAATTATATGAAAAGTTGTCGTAACTCATTAAAATGATAAAATATGTGCAAATAAATGCTATGGAAAGTGTTAAATGTAGGTTTGGGACGATACTAAATGTGATGATGATGATGATGATGATGATACATATGACATATGGTACATGGCCAAAGTTTGTTATATCACCAGAGGTGTTAGAACGTTTTTTTATAAATACCTTCAGCTGATTATATTAATGATTGGTCAGCATATCTAACTTTTTTAAGTAATTTCACACATATATTGAAACATAATAACTACATAGCCTATGACCATGTTTTTTTCAGAAAAATAAGACTGTTTTCTTCGCACATTAGTCCTAATGTATTAGCCATTGACTCGAATATGAAGTGCGACTGTACTCACCACCAGGTGCCTGTAGGAACAGCAGCCCGCCCTCGCCGGTGGCCAGACGGCGCGTGACTTCGTCGTAGACGTCCCGCTGATCTTGTGTGAGCAGAGGCACATGCTCGTCCACCAGTCGCTGGTGATGGTCGATCGGCTGGTTGTCCTCTTCTTCGGGGGCCTGGGCAGGCGCGTCCGGCGGGTGTGGCAGACCGACATCGGACAGGGCCAGGCCACTGATGCGCCGGAGCTGGCGGCCGATCAGCCGCAGTGTCTCGGAGAAGACGGGGTGTTGCGCGTCGTCACCACCGACGTCCATGGGGTCATAGTCGTCGAGATCGGCGTCCTGTTCCAGCCGGCCGAGCCGCTGAAGGCGCCGCCGCACGTCCTGCGACATGGCTGTGCGGAAGTTCCGCCACAGCAGCTGAATATCGCAGCTGGCGCGGCCCTCGATGGTGATGAGTGCGAAGAGACACCTCAGCTGCCGGGGGAAGGTGATTTCGGCTGCCTCCGCCATGGCCCGATGCCAGTACTGGCCGTCCTCCAGCAGACCGAGCACCGAGCAGGCCTCTTGACCGTTGACAGTGCGGAGCGCCTCAAATGAGCGCGGCCCCCGCACGTTGTGCAGGAGAAGGCGCAGGAAGAAGCGTTCCCCGGCGCGTGGGCTCACCGCGTAAACACGGCCGAGAGCTCGTGCGGAGAATATCCCCGGCACGTTTGGATGTGGTGCTCCCCGCCGCCGCCGCCTCCAGCTTTTTGTCGCCGTCTGCCATGTATAGTACCTGGGGACTTCATGATAGAGCAGAGTAGCGGCGAACTCGTCCTCTGCGCAGATGTTAAAGAAGCTTGTAAGCTTGGACTGCTCCTGCCTGTCAATCACTTGCCGTAGATGGTCGTCGGCGTGGAACCTTACCAATCGGTCTTGACCGCCAAGGTGGACCGGCAGCGCTTCTACTGTGGGCAGGTGCTCATGGATTGGGTACTGGAGCAGGCGCCAGGCGGCCTCCATGGCGCTCAGATAGCGGCCCTGCTGAAAGGTCGCTATCTCGTCGACCACCGCCGGCTCACCTGGTGCCACCGCGAACATGACCTGGTCGCTTCCCTTCGTCACGTACTTGAGGACGTAACGAATGCAGGTGAAGGCATGGGTGATGAGCTCCACATTGACATGGCATTGCAGTGCGCGGCTGAGTAGGGGATTGTATGGCACAATCCAGCGGTTGTCCACAGTGATAGGACCACCGGGTCGGCCGGCCAGCTGCACGGTGCGCCCGCCGTCCAGCGGGCTGCGGCGGCGGTACTGCGGGTACCCCGTGTCGTTCACCTCGGTGACAGCGGCGAACTGCTTCGGGTATCGCTTTGTGCAGGCGCCATCAGCCATGCACGGGGCCGCTGGCCGGTGGGCACCGCACGGGCCGTGCACCATCTTGCTGGTGACGACAGCATGGAGCTCTGGCTCTGTTATCGGGTCCGGGATCCCGGCCGAGACGAACAGGTCGACGGTGTCAGGCCGAGGCTTGTCGTCTGGCTCCAACCACAGGACGATATGGGCATGAGGGAGGCCGCGCTTCTGCCACTCGATGCAGCTGATGAAGGCACGGACCTGACCGAAGACCGCGCCTTCTCGGAGCAGGTGCAGGAGGCCGCGCAGCTTCTGGCGAAAAACTTGTGACACCACCTCTGGATGGTCTGAAGGCTGCTGTCCCGGGTACAGGCGTCGCAGGGTGTCCTTAATTTCCGCCCACATTGGATTGCACGTGACCGTGATGAATAGGTCGCCACCTCCAAACTCGCGAACGTACGCCATGGCATCGTTCAGCTTGGCGACCATGTAGCGGGCGCTGCCGGTAAAGGATGCCGGCAGCACGATGCGTCCGACATCAGCGCCGTGCTCGTCACCGGCGTGAATGGCGTCCGTCAGGCCGCGCAGCGTCTCTGTCCTCAGTGCCGGCTGGTGTTGGCGCAGGTAGCAGAGGCGGTCCGATTCGATTTTCGCGAAGGCGTCCACCAGTAGCTGCTGAAAGAGTGACTGGCCCCTGGCGATCAAATTGAAATGGCCTGGACGATAGCGCAGATGGAACGCGTAGTACTCTGTTGCTGTTATGTTCATGGCGTGCTTCATTTCTAGGGACCAGCCGTCGGTGCCGTGAGGGTGTAACAGCACGTAGTGCAGGGGGTCGTAGCTGCGGTGATACTCATTGATTCGTTCCACACCGCCGTCTCGGTGGTGCAGGACGATGTCGCGGACGCCATGCGGCTCCTCGGGCATCAGGACCGCCACCTCGCCGGTCTCTGGCAAGTTGAAGCGGCGCTCGTGCTCCGTGGCGGGTCGACGCTGTGCGCTCAGAACGATTCTGAGTGGTTGGTCCTCTCGGCGCACCAGCTCAAGAGCCGAGTGAAGCCCGCGCACGTAGATGTTGTTGTCGTGCAGCATCTCCTGCAGCTGCTGGAGCACTTCTGGGTGTAGATTCTCGTACAGGTCCATCCGTGCTTCCAGCTCCCTGTCGTAAAAGTAAATTTGCAGGTACTCCGGCTGAGCGCCCTCCGCCGGCAGCAGGCTCCCGATACGGTGGCACACGGTGCCGTGCACCGTGAACACGGGGTTCCAGCCTGGCTGTCGCACCTGCTGGCAGCCCATGCTAGCCAGCTGGAAGGCGCTATTAAACGCTCTGAGATGCTGTGTGAAGTGCCGATGGTGTGGCGACTCTGGCGAGAAGAGCTGACACAGCACCTCAGGCGGTGGTGGGTGGAAGGGTGGAGCCACCTTGCCGGAGTGACAGCAGGCGCCGGGCGACTCCTGCCGCCAGCGGAGCGCGCCGCAGTGGGCACAAACGACCTCCATCTGGCCCAGCTGCAGGCGAGGTGGCGCCACGTACGCCTCGCGGCTGTAGATGAGCGCCAGCTTGTGTGGCGCGCGGCGGCGGAGCTCCTCCCGCTGCAGGCGGTGCCGCTCGGCGTCTGCTGCCAGGAACGCGGCGCGGTCCTCCCGCTGCCGATCAGCGGCGTGACGGGCGGCGTCCTCTGCGAGTCGCTGCTGGCGCTCAGGAGTCGTCTCTCGGTCTCGGGCGGCGGCTCGGCGGACGGCCTGCTGCTCAATCCGCTGCTGGCGCTCAGGAGTCGTCTCTCGGTCTCGGGCGGCGGCTTGGCGGGCGGCCTGCTGGGGCATTCCACGTCAAATCGAACAAAAATCGGCTGTTTTGCACCTTACCATCAGCGATTTCATTATAAATTTGTAAGCGAGTTCCTGTGCGGCCCCGGACATTACATTGATGTTTTTTGCACATTCTGACCACAGGTCTTCTAAATATAGGGCATCAAATTTTTACAAAATGTTGCATCTTTATATTTTTGAACGACCATAACTTTGGTTGTACTTGTTTGATTTGAATGAAATAAACCTTACTGTTTAGGTTATTTCTTAACCCGCGCGGGGCTGGGGGGGGGGGGTAAATTTTACCCCTCCTCGCGAATTTTTGCGATATCTCAAAAACGGCGGCGCGCAGCGCCGCCAAACTTTCAGTACCTTTTCTTACATCAATTTGACACGTTCCCTGAAAATTTGAGCGAAATCCGTCGGAAAATTTTTGAGAAATTGACGTTTTAGTGACGTCATGTTCGCCATTTTCGCCTCAAAAACGGCAAAAGTTCAAACGCCGCTAACATCTTCATTTTTAAAGGAATCAAGACGTAACAAAAAAGGTTATACGTAATTTTACTTTGTCTATCAAATGGCTATCTCGGTTTTTTAAAAATTTTGGATTTTGGCCTAAATTTTTTCAAAAAACTGAATTTTTTTGGGAAAAGCATTATAAAATCCAAAATTTTGAGTCTATCGAAAAAACCGGAATATATGTCAGAGAAGTGGTCTATGTGCACCTACATACCAAATTTTAGAAGAATCGGTTCAAAAATGTGGGAGTTATTCAAAATTTTATGACGTCACGACACACAAAATTTTTGAAAAATGACTTTTTTGGAAGTTCTAGACCTCGTACGGAAACAAAAATAGCACCATTCGATTCGCCGTGAAAAACTGCATCAGATAGACACCTTTTTAGGCCTTAACAACCAACTTCAAAATTTGACCTCACTTGACCTGACCTTGACCTGACCTCGACCTGAAATTCATCCAGAGGTGGTCCATATCCCTTATTGAGTGTGCCTATTGAATTCTATGAGTAAAATGACCCATAAAACATGTGTCGCACATGCCCTTTTCTATATTTTGTTTTTTGGTGACCTGACCTGACCTGACCTGACCTTGACCTTGACCTCTGAATGATATTGTATGCAACGAATATTGTCTTGGTAGCCTAAGAACACGTTTTGGGCGATCAGTCTCAGTCCATGACTCCATTCTTCGGCAACTACGGTGCAAGGCCGATACTGTAGAAACTTGCAATTTGTACCCTTGACCTGACCTTGACCTTGACCTCAAACTTTAAATTAAGTACATGTTTTTAGTAGTTCGTGATGAGAGCTTTCGATTGGCGTTTGAATTTTCCAAATCGCACCATTAGTTTGGGAGATAACAGGGGGGGGGGGTAAAATTTACCCCCCAGCCCCGCGCGTTCGGCTGGAGACCCCAGCCCCGCGCGGGTTAAGCATTTGTTTAGAATTGCACCTACTTAAATATATGACCTTGAAATTTGCTTAACTCTGTTCTTAAGCACAAATATTGAAATAGCAAAAAACACGTCACCTTCGATTTGGCTCATTTTCATATATTTTATTGCCTACCATATTCTTAACAACCTGTGAAAAAATTAGAGTGGGCCATTCATAAATTTTGAAGAAAATTGCACATATGCAAACGTATGTTAGCACGCGCAGTGGAGGGGGAAGAGCGAATTTCGCCCACCCCTCCTGTTTTTCGCCAATATCTCATAAGATTAATGCGAAATTAATTATGGCTACCTGTCAAGAACTGAATTGGACATCTCATCGTGCAAGCAATAAGAAAATCGGTTCACAACTGTTCTAGTAATAGCGGTGTAAAGTGAACATCCTGTCGCCGCAGCGACGCGGCGACTCGGCAGCCGGCGCCGACCGCTACGCGCCGCCTGAATTGTAGACTGTGCCGGGATGGGACGGAACGGTTCCGTCTTTACATCGCGCTCCTTACCGCTGATTACGTTCGATTCGCGTCAAATTTTGTGAGAAGACTAAGAAATGTACAGGCAATCTTATGGTGAAAGAATTTTGAAAATCGGTTGTTGAACAATTGAAATATGAACGTGTAAACACAAAATTGTGATTGCTGCGTTTCCCGCATCGGCCGAGCCCGCCTCAGCCGGCGACATGTTACTCTTAGCAGGCCTCTAACTGCCATATTTATTATTGGATTAACTAGGAATTCCCCATACATACTAAAAAATTATGTTCTTTCGTATAGTGAAGATAAAAAGACGTGAAGATATCGTTGCGTGATAATGTTTTCGTTGAATATACTTCATGATGCATTTCCACACGGCTCAAAATTCACCGCAAAATACCGTTTGCCTGAGACACTTTTACTATGGAACGTGAATGCTTGACTACGATGACTATGCATTTCCATTCTCGCAGAGTTTGGGATATCACTAATCAGCAATAATTCATTTCAGAAAGTGTACACAAGCAAGCATGTCTTGACTCTGTCTTTCAAGGTCACGCGCGGTTGCGTGATGTTGATGCATGAAAACGGCGTTTGCCGCGAAAGTTATGAATGGCCCACTCCAATTTTTTCACAGATGGTTAGGAACATTGTGACGGACATAATATGTAAAAATTAGCCAAATCGAAGGTGACGTGTTTTTTGCTATTTAAATTTTTCTGTTTTAATTCAAGGTCAAATGCATTTCAAGGTCACTTCAATTTAATTTTATAATTAAAAATCAAAGCCTTATCAATTGCCTATAAGACCCTGTTAATATCATTTTGATACCAGAAACGGAACCAGAGTTATAGCCATTTAAAAAATTGATGTGTGGCATTTTTCGCTATATTCGATGACCTATATCTCAGCGATACGTTATCAAATTTCGAAAATATTATACGTAACTCAGTTTTGAACCATGCCCAGTCTGCCTACAAATTTTCAGAGAAATCGAAGGGGATGACGGATTTCGGTGTTTGATTTGACGTGGAATGCCCCTGCTGCTCAATCCGCTGCTGGCGCTCAGGAGTCGTCTCTCGGTCTCGGGCGGCGGCTTGGCGGGCGGCCTGCTGCTCAATCCGCTGCACGCGCTCAGGAGTCGTCTCTCGGTCTCGGGCGGCGGCTTGGCGGGCGGCCTGCTGCTCAATCCGCTGCACGCGCTCAGGAGTCGTCTCTCGGTCTCGGGCGGCGGCTTGGCGGGCGGCCTGCTGCTCAATTCGCTGCACGCGCTCTTCCGCGGTCTCAGCTGCTCGCGCCACTCTTTTCCGCGCAGCGTCCCCGGAATAGTCTCTCATACGCTTTGCCGAGGGAAGGCCTCGATTAGCGCCCTGAAAAGGCACAAAGAAAACAGCTATAATGCATAAAAATTAAATCACGCCCGGGTGGGCCTCTCAGCCAACTTCGTCATGGTGGGGGGGGGGAGGGGGCCTTTTTGGCCACAACACGTTATCTCGGAAAGTAAGCAAGCTAGAAGGACGCGGTAAAAAGCAATGGATAGCCTGCTATAAGATCTTTTGGGATTTTAAAAGTCATTTTCGCTCAGGTCATCGCGGAGGCCGCTGAAGGTCACCAAAGATAAAAATATCGCGACATTTGGTCCCGATTTTGACAACTTTTCACCAACCGAAGCGGGGCATGAGTAAGGAACTAATAAAGCTACAGCGCTGCCGAAACGCGCATTCGATAGCTCTTTGAAAGACCTCTCCGAACATTATTCTGAGAGTTGACCTAAGCTCAATGGTTTAGCCTCCATAAGGAACTAATAAAGCTACAGCGCTGCCGAAACGCGCATTCGATAGCTCTTCGAAAGACCTTTCTGAACATCATTCTCAGATTTGACCTAAGCTCAATGGTTTAGCCTCCAGAGGCTAAAAACTTAAAATTGAACGTTTTTGCGGAAAGTTTCTCTGTAATAACTGTCCACTCCAAGCTTGTATTGCACTGATTTTACTGCCATCGCGGTTGTCTCGTCGAGACGCGTCGAATGAACTATAAGTTGACCTTGAAAGGTCGACCTAAAAATTTGACTTCAGGTCAAGGTCACGGATCAGGCCATTTGCATTACATTCGATTCGTCTTGTGTTAAACTGTAAACACATTTATGGTGTTTTCATCGCTCTAGCATGTCCCTATCTAAAGTTATTGTCAAAAACTGCTTGAGACGTTTCATGACCGGAGATAACCTTAGGGGCACCAAAGGGGTCACAGAGGCAGTTTTCCGGTTCAGTGCGTAATGTTCACCTTTGTCACGATCTTTGAAGGTGTTTTCGGCCAAAAGAAAAGCATTTCAACTGATTCCCTCATGCAATAGCCGGGGTTCCAAGCTTCTGGGATGTAAGCTATAGGAATGAATGAATCACAAATTTTTTAGAGGCATGGTCACTTAATGGCCGCCCCACACTGGACCTCGCATGCGGGTTTTGAGTTTGCGGGTTTTGAGTTTGCGGGCATAATACTAATTCATAGAGTGATTAGACCGTTTCCTTATGGTAACTTCATGAATGCAGTGAAGCCGGTGCACCTACAGAAAATTACATATAGTCGCAATACCAGAGTAACGAACCAAAATTCGACTCCAACGAAAAACCCGCAAACCTCACAGAACTCGCACACCTCGCAGCGAGGAAAATCGAAATTTGACTAAAGAAACTTTTGGAATGCGATGCAAGGTGGCTCGCAAGCTAAAAACATGCAGGCTCGCTTGTTAGATGGTAGTGTGGGTCACTCAGCTTAGATTGTATTACTTGATTTTGAAGAAACCCGAAAACCCAAAAACTCGCAACCCGCATGCGAGGTCAGGTGTGGGGCGGCCTTAACTTGACCTGATGACCTGATCTTATGTGATCTGCGGTCAACAATTATGAACACGATGCGAAATTGATGTATCATAAGCTGTACCAAGTTTCGAGGCGCTAAAAACTTACCCACGCAAAAAACCGGCAAGTCTTTCCAACACCCCCCCCCCCTCCCCTCGGGCGAAGGTTAGGCATCTTTTCAAATGCTCCTTACATCACCAATGTATTTCTTTGTAACGGAACAGCTGGGTCCCTGTTACGTTGCAGAAACTGCTGGCGGACTTTATAGACTAAGAATGTTGAACAGATTGAATGATTCGATTGAATTATTGATAATTCAATAACTGATGATGTAATGCATGGTTAGATGTATATACTTACCGATGACGGGCCAGCAGCTCCAAAGATCGCCGGTGGCGGCAGCGGCAGGCCGCTGGTCCCCTCAATGGGGGAACGGTGCCGAGTCCTTGTACAGCGCACAGTATGGTTGGCGTCAATGGATGCAACCAAGGGCACCGGTATTGAATAAAAATGTTGGCATATATATTACAAAGTTCAATGATAAAATTTGCCGTAATACGTCCGGCTTGTTTGTTAGAGGAACGGGCATCAAATGCATTGCACATCATAAATTATATCTTTTGGTGGTACGCATTCAATTTAATGTATTCAAAATGGATCGGTTTCCATAAGACATCGGTAAAATATTCTCCTTTTCCTGTATACTCACCGATGACGGGTCAGCCCTACTCGAAACGGCGATCACCGGCGGCCCACTGGTGCCCTCGCCGGGGTCTACGGCGGCGGCTGCCCTGGAGCCCTGAATAATAAACAAATGGGTGTCATTAATGTGCTCCACAGCGATATAAAAATGCGGTGAGCCGATCTATTGAAACGGAGTCTACTATCGGCAATCTAAGGCACCTGTATTGATTAAAAATGATTGCAAATGTGTTGCAGAGTTGGACATCGCCGGCGCAGGGGGTTGATGCAACCCATAAAGTAAACAAATTATAGGATTTAAAATTCAATAACTGATGATGTAATGATTTATAGGTTAAATGGTTAAATGTAACGGCATGGTTAAATGTACTTACCGATGACGGGCCAGCAGCTCCAAAGATCGCCGGTGGCGGCAGCGGCAGGCCGCTGGTCCCCTCAATGGGCGGAGCGGTGCCGAGTCCCTGTACGGCGAACAGTATGGTTGGCGTCAATGGATGCAACCAAGGGCACCGGTATTGAATAAAAATGTTGGCATATATATTGCAAAGTTTAATGCTAAAATTGGCCGTAATACGTTCGGCTTGTTTGTTAGAGAAACGGGCATCAAATGCATTGCAAATCATATATCTTTTGGTGGTACGCATTACATAATAAACAAATGGGTGTCATTAATGTGCTCCACAGCGATACACAAATGCGGTGAGCCGATCTATTGAAACGGAGTCTACTATCGGCAATCTAAGGCACCTGTATTGATTAAAAATGATTGCAAATGTGTTGCAGAGTTGAACATCCCGGCGCAGGGGGTTGATGCAACCCATAAAGTAAACACATTATAGGATCGAAAATTCAATAACTGATGATGTAATATATATTGAGACGGGTTACACAGCACATTGGGTGGACGCGTTTCGTCTAAATGACTTTTTCGACACCCTCTCGGAAATTAAAACAATACAAACACACAAGAATAAAACTAGCACAGCAGTCTCACACTCTGTTGAAATACAGCATGCTAAGAATGCGCATTACTACAAATGATAACCTTCGATAAAAAACTATTTGTCGGTACACAGCTACTGTTACATAATCATCGACGAGAATAAAAATAGCACACTTATAACGACTCGAACGGTAAGTTTTTTAAGTCAAGTTTTTAATGCTGAACACTGCTGCTGATTTTGCCCACTTAATAAACCCTACCCTGGTATTGATCGTATCGTTCGTTGTAATAAATGCCGCTTCGGTCGCTCTCCGACATCCCTTGTTCCCACAATTCGCTAACACTTTCGCCCCGTCCCAATTTGGCAAATGACTAGTGGAATGTGCGTGAACAACAAAGGCACTGTGGTCGGCGTCGTTTCGTATGTCTCGCTTGTGCTCTTTTAAGCGTGTTTGGATTCCCCTACCAGTTTCTCCAATATAAGATTTGTCGCAGTTACCACACGGTACCTGATAGACTACGCTAAGTTCTCTATTTCTAGAAGTTTTCTTTTGAGTTAACTCACCTATCTTCTTTCCAGTGGTCAGTGCCACCTTGAAGCCTGTCGTTTCGAGTTTCTGAGTGATGCTTTCGGCTACTTTTGAGTTCGGTATTGAAATAAATCGTGTGTCTTTCTTTCGAGCTGTTTCGTTCCTCGTTTTGTTTCGAATGTCTAAAGCCTTCTTTTTCAAACGAATGAGAAGACCCTTTGGGTACTTCAGCTTCATGAAAGATGAAAAGATATGCCGGATTTCGTCATCGAGATATTCTTCACTGCATATCCGGAAAGCCCTTAAAAAGAACCCCAAAACTATCCCACTTTTGACCCTCTCGCTATGGCCTGAAAAATAATGAACGTAGTCTTCCTTATTTGTAGGTTTACGATACACTTTGAATTTTGCATGACTACCACTTCGTACTACTTCGGTATCTAAGAAGGGAATGGAGCCGTTTCTCTCTGTTTCTATAGTGAACTGGATATTTGGGTCAACCGCGTTCAGTTCAAGTTTCGTTTTCAAGTCGATGTCTTTTGGCGCTACAACTAAGACGTCGTCAACATATCGCACCCACAATACATTTTCACCCATGATATTTTGGTACCTGTGTTTTTCTAGCCACTCCATATAAAGGCAAGCAGCCACCGGACTCAGAGGCGATCCCATAGCTAGCCCGCTGTGCTGAACATACTCATCTGACTCGAACCTGAATCCTCCAAATTTCATGCACATTGATACAAGGCTAATATAGTCAGATTTTGCGAGCGGTAACTGATCTGAATCCATCTTTTCGACTACATTTTTGATAACCCTAAGGGCATCATCTACTGGTACATTAGTAAAGAGAGACTTCACGTCAAAGCTGGCCAGGTACTTATCTGTTAAGTCGGTGTTCTTAAGTCGTTCGATCAGATCGTCGCTGTTTCGTAAGTGTGCATCACTGACCGCCCCCAGGTTCGCGGTGAGCGGCTTCGCAAGTGTTTTCGCTAGTCGATGGGGTGCGCTACCGATGCCGGATGTAATCGGTCGTAATGGTATGCCGTCTTTATGCAGTTTCGGGAGGCCGCGCATCTTCGGTGCTTCTGGTGCTTCCTCTAGTAGGTGTAACATGTTTTTGCCTTTCTCTGTTTTCTTCAGAACTTTTGTTGCGTCTTTATTGAACTGTTTGCTGATCTTGTCAACGAATCCATGCGGCTTTTTTGTGTACGTATCACTGTCGTCGAGAAGAACTTGCATTTTTTCTACGTAGTCTACTTTGTTGATGATCACCACTCCTCCTCCTTTATCTGCGGGAGTGATCTTGAAACGTACCAATGTAGTTTACAAATTCTCTTGTCCTGACGAAGATTGCAGGCTTCGTTCGGTAGACTACATTGGTGTTACTACAACATCTCTATCTCGCCGTCTCACAATGCATCTGTCTGAGGGGGCTCCAAAGGACCACATGCAGCGGGAACACAACACACAGATCACCCGAAGAACACTCACACAGAACACCACAATCATCGCCTCGACACATGACACCAGGAAACTGGGCGTGCTGGAAGCCATACTCATACATGAACAAGCACCCATACTCAACAAACAAGTACAACAAACATGCAATTTGTCACTGTGGAGTCAGCGCACTCAAAGAGGTATAGTGTATGTTCGTGTTGTATGCGTGCGTGTGTGTTTCATATGTATTATTTAGGTCTGACCAAGTGCCTGGTTATCGCTATAGGTATGGTTAATTTTTAGTACCCTACCGCAAAACTGTCGCAAACGAAGATGTCAATTTATGTATGCTCGTGTTTACTCTTTTAAATTTCGAAACATATTTAAAACTGATAGCATGTGAATGAGCTTGTGCAGCGTTCTGGTTCTTCAGCGTGTCCGTTTAGTGTTTAGCATAAACAAAATGGATTATGGTTAGTTAGAACTAGCGTTGTATCATTTTGAAAATGGATATAGTCGATTATCCGAAACGTCAATGACTTGTCAATATAAACGATGACACATGCCTCTCGGTGAACTATTGTTCAACTTGAATTCAGACTTAAAAACATTGGTAAGAAGAATCGAAAAACTCAACAGAAAGCTTTCTAAAGCACAACATGCCGTGATTTTTAATGGTCATTGTTTGAATGAATATATATATATATATATATATATATATATATATATATATATATATATATATATATATATATATATATATATATATAAAGAAAATGCACTAGATTCGCATTAATAATTATTCTAAGCCACACTTCGGAGTCGATCGATCGTTGTGTATTCGTTAAAAAGCTAACAGTTTCGGATCATCTCGATTATTGCGGACGCAATATTAGACGCTCAATCATTCGTCTTGACATGTATTTTAAGTTAGACTGACGCGTAAATAAAACAAATTAATAACTAACAAAAAACATCCTGAAAACAGCCAAAACAGATGAAAGTATTTTTGCGTCTGACCTTAAAAAAGGTCAAAACGTATAAATTATGCTCCGCGAGAAAAGCCACGTGAAATAACACATTTTGTTCAGAAGAAACTAAAAATGTTTAGGGCACTTTCAGAGGAACAGAACTGAAATTATCGCCTGGAACTAAAATAACGTTTAAAGCACTGACAAAAATATGTGAATTCGTAACATCCCGGCCTCTCTAGACCAACGCGTCTAGAACATCACAACGATTCACATATCACACGTCGCACGATATATTTACAGCCTCGACAGCATCTCGAGGCGTTAGAAGTGCCACGTCGATTGATGGCCCTGTCAGTCTCACATTCTCAGCTTTCGCTAGCTTTGCCCTCAGCATCATCTTTGCACCACCATCAGTCTGGTACAGGCCTCTTCAAGACGTTCAGGACAGCCAGCTTCCTCACGGACCGGTGCAGCCTTCCGTGAGCGGTTTTGATGATGGCGGAGCGCACGATGCCGTCTCCACCCACGTAGACCCTCTCCACGATTCCTCGTGGCCAGAGTCCTCTGGGATGCTGATGATCGACGATGATGACGACATCCCCCACCTTGACGCTGCTAACCTCCCTTCTCCACTTGGTACGTTTTGCCAGTGTCGGAAGGTACTCGCGTACCCATCTTTTCCAGAAGTGATCAGCCAGCCGCTGAGCCTGCTGCCACCGCTTTCTTAGACACTTCACGTCGCCATTGATTCCCACCGGGTACGACGGGGTGGCTCTTCCGATAAGGAAGTGATAAGGGGTCAAAACATCTTCGTCATATGGATCCACTGGAACATGGAATAGTGGTGTTGAATTCATCACCTTCTCTACCTCGCAGAGAAGTATCGCGAGGACTTCATACCTCGGCTTCTGCTGATTCAGCAAAGCACTCAGGGTCTGCTTCACTGTCCGGATGTGCCTTTCCCACACTCCTCCGGCCTCTGGATCACCAGGTGGATTGAAGTGCCACTTGATGCCTTCAATGCCCAACTTCTCCTTCATCGTTTTCTGGTCAATACTCCGGAGAGCTGCGTCCAGTTCTTTGCTTGCTCCCTTAAAGTTTGTGCCATTGTCTGACCACATCTCCTTTACGTTGCCGCGTCTGGCCTGGAAACGAGATATAACCAGGAGGGCGCTGTCTGTGTCGAGCCGATCCGCGAGTTCGAGATGAACGGCCCTTGTAGCGAAGCATCGAAATATAACTCCCCACAGCTTCATAGTGGTCCGTCCTTGGACAGCGTGTAGAGGACCAAAATAGTCCATACCAGTTGCCAAAAAGGCACCTCCTAGCATTGAGACCCTCGGCGTCGGCAGCGGAGCCATCTTGGGTTGGCATGGCTGAACTTTGCGGTTCTGACAAGTCTGGCACCTTGCGGCCACTTTTCGAATTTCTCGAGCGGCTTGAGGCACCCAGCACCTCTGTCGGAGCTCCACCAACACCGCGTCATGTGCTCTGTGACCCATTTTTTCATGCAGATGCTGTATCAGAAGTTGTGTATACGGGTGGTCACGAGGCAGGATCGGTGGATACCGAGCTGTGTTATCGATGTGAGGGCAGCGCTTCGTTCGAGTGTCGAAGCAGATCAGTCCGTCCTTCAGCACCGGAGAGAAGCCGTTCAAGGCGCTCGTGCTTGCTAACGGCACGCCTCTCTGCATGTCCTGTAAATCAGAGGCGTACTTCTCCCTCTGGACCAGCTTCATCCACATCGTCTCAGCTTCGCTGAACTCGGCGGCTTCTTCTCGCTTACGTTTCAAGACGATGTTTCTCCAGCGCAGGATCACCGCAACAGTGCGGACGGCGACTGACCAGCGTGAAAAACGCGCTGGGTCTGGCATGGCCTGTCGAACGTCTGTGCTTGTTTTGGCAGATGACGCACACACCAGTTTCGTTTCTGGGTCGTTCCGCAGCGTCTCTGCGACTGATGTCGTGCTGTCCCAAAGCCACTCCTCTTCCGGGGTACGGAGGAAATCGGGGCCAGACATCCATGGACCATTTCCTCGAAGATCTTCGAGGGCGTGGCCTCGTGAACCGCCGTCTGCAGCGTTTAGCTCTGACGGCACATAGCGCCACTGGTCAGGGCTGGTCGACTCACGAATTTCAGTGACTCTGTTTGCGACGAACACGTGATATCGGCGGTCGTCTGCTTTAATCCACGCCAGGACGTTTCTGGAATCTGACCAGAGAGTGGTTTTTGTCACTTTTAGTCGAGTTTCCAGCTTCACGGTCTCTGCTAGTCTTGTTGCCAAAACGGCGGCCTGTAGCTCTAGCCGAGGGATCGTGAGCGTCTTTGCCGGAGCTACACGCGACCTCGCGGCCACGAAGCTGACTCTGAAATGATTCTCCTGTATCCACCGATAGTAGAGTACAGCACAAAATCCCTTTTGGCTGGCGTCGCAAAAAACATGCACTTCAACGCTGTCGATGCCGGCCTCATGATCAAACATGTGTCTTGGGATTCGGATCTGGTTGATTTGTTCGAGCTCTCGCGTCCAATCTTAATACGGTTTCTCCCACTGGTCGGGAATCGGAGTGTCCCAGCCAAGCTCCTGCTTCCACAGCTGTTGCAGCAGAACCCGCACAGTGAGTAGCCACCCGGACAGGAAACCGAGAGGATCGAAGACGGACATGACATGAGAGAGCACTGTCCGTTTTGTGACTGTTTCTGGTGCCGGCTTGGCCTTGTAGATGATTTCATCAGTTTCTGGGGTCCATATTATTCCCAAGGCCCGTTGTGCCATGCTTTTATCGCCGAGACTGACGTCTCCGGAGGCACGAAGCACAGGTTGGAGAGCTTCAAGAACCTCTGATGAATTTGATGCCCACGGTCCGAGCTCGAAGCCTCCACATCTGAGGGTAGATGTGAGGTCCCGGATGAGGGCTGACGCCTTCTCGCTGGTCTCAGCGCCAGTGATAACGTCATCGACGTAGGTGTCATGGAGGATGGCGGCTACAACATCATGGTTATCTTTGCCAAACAGTTGACCCGTCTTTCGAAAGCAGTACCCAGCCGTACTGGGGGACGACTTGGACCCGAAGATGACCGTATTCGATTCATACGTATCGAATGGTCCTTCACGACGTCGACCGCGCCAGAGAAAACGAAGACTGGCTCGGTCTGACGGCTCCACCTGAATTTGGCTGAACATTGCGACCACGTCCGAAGTGATTCCGATTGGCTTTTCTCGCCAGCGAAGGAGAATGCCAGGAATCGAATTGAAGTAGTCCGGTCCTCGCATGAGAAAGTCATTTAGACATTTGCCGTGGCTTCTAGCTGCGGCGTCCAGCACAAGTCTGACCTTGTTAGGCTTGTTTGCGTTGGTCACCGCAAGAAGCGGTAGGTACCACGTGTTCGGTGGCTCTTGCGCTGCTTCTTCTGTCGACAGTTTTCGTATGTGACCATCGCTTTCCATTTTGTCGATGCGCTCGTAGCACATCTTAGCAAACGTCGGCTGCCCTTCGACTTCGTTTTTTGCAGAGCGATCCAGCTTGCGTTCGAAAGATATCGCTCTTTTCTCCGCCATTTTCCGGCTCTCAGGAAGCGTTTCAGCACCATTCTTTCGAAGCAGTGGTGCCGTCCAACGGATTCCGTCATGGTGCACTTCTTTGTCCAGGATCTGCTCGGCTGCCTGATCTTCTGGACTGTACGCATCGTTCCGCTGAAACTTACAGCCAAATGATTCTGTCGTCCATGTAGACTTCACTAGATCATCTAGTTCGCGGCTCACTCCTTCACGGATGAACTGCACTGACTGGCGTGACACATCAGTGGCCGTCACGACTCGACCGGTGACGGTCCAGCCCAGCTCAGTTCTCTGCAGGATGGGTCCATTCTTGGTCGTTCTCAACAGCTCCCGCGTCGAGATCAGTTCAGCATTATCGAGTCCGATCAAGATTTGGGGCTCTTCATCGATGTCAGGTAAGTTCAGCTGTTTCACCAGATGAAACTTTCTCTCCATGGTTTTCATCGGCACAGGATTTTTGTCCAGTTCCAGAGTCGAGATGACAAAGACATTGTAGTAAAGTGACCGTGTGTGCTGTTGGGGTGCACCATGCTGGTGCACCCGCACCGGCCGGGCGACCGCCCAGGTGCACCGGGCCGGTGCCATATCGCCGCAGGCCGCCCCTGGCCTTGCCTGTGTCGTGTCTGCGGCCGCCAATACAATCAGTCTAGAACGGGAGCGCCGAGTTTTAACATTGGCGACGAGGGACGTGCGAGCCACGCGCGGTCATGGCGTGTGTGGGCAAGGCACCCGAGTTTGACTCGAATTTGGAGTCTTTCGGAGCCTATTCAAGACGGCTAGAGCAATATTTTATAGCCAACGGTATCACCGGTGCAGCTCAGGAAGACAAGAGGCGTGCCGTATTTCTGAGCGTGGTGGGGGCCAGAACTTTCGGTCTTCTTGAAGACTTGATTGCACCAGCAAATGTGAGTGAGTGCACTTACGAAGATCTAGTGAAAACGCTGGTAACTCATTATGAGCCGCAAACATCAGTGATTGTGGCCCGTTATCGTTTTCACACGTGTCAGCGGTCCGATCAGGAGAGTGTGAGCACATATTTGGCCCGGCTACGCAAGCTGGCCAAGCCATGCGAGTTTGCAGCGAACGTTTTGGAGGAAATGCTGCGCGACCGACTGGTGTGTGGTATTAACCACGAACGGTTGCAGTCACGTCTTCTCAGCGAGAGCAAGTTGACGCTCAACAAAGCACTGGAACTTGCTCAGGCACATGAGTCGGCGGCTGCCAGCGCTGCGGAGCTCAGCGGTCAGGCCTCGGGTGGCGTCTCTTCTGAGCCCGCGGTGCACCGACTGCAAGGGCGCGCTGGTGGCCCCGGCGGCGGTGCCCGGCCTCCACGGCCGCCGCCTGCTGCATCAGCATCGGGGTTTCCAGCGCGGGAGGAGTGCAGCCGCTGCCTGAAGCGCCACTCTGCTGCATCATGCCCGTTTCGCGGGAAGTTCTGCTTTGCCTGCGGAAGGCGGGGCCACATCAGAGCTGCTTGCGGGAGATGGAGCCAGCAGCATCTGCGCCAGTTGTCAGCCGATGGGGAGACGTCAGCTGCGGCGGCACCGACGGAGGAGGACTCGAGTGACGTGCTACCACGGCCGCGCCGGGAGGTGCCGGCCCCCGAGAGTAGTGAGATGTGCGATGAGGCATATGCCTTGTTCAGTGTGCGGCCAGGTGTGTGCGAGCGGCGGCCGCCGCTGATGGTGAGAGTGGGCCTAGACGGCCGCGCGGTGGATATGGAGCTGGACACGGGAGCCGCGCTCTCCGTGTGCTCCGACGCGGTGTTTCGACACCTGTGGCCCGACGGAGGACCAGCCCTGGAGCCGTGCGGTGTGTCGCTTAAGACTTACAGCGGTGAGTTGCTGTCCGTGCGGGGGCAGGCGATGGTGAACGTGGAGTACGGCGGGAATACGACACGCCTGCCACTGATCGTGGTGAAGGGGAGCGGGCCATGCCTGTTTGGCCGTAACTGGCTCAGTCACATCCGGCTTGACTGGCCCTCAGTGTGTCGCGTGGCGCCGCCGTGTTCGGTGCAGCCCATACTGGAGGAGTTCCCGGAGGTGTTCCGGGACGAGCTGGGGTGCTACCGGGGCGGTGAGGTCACCATCGATGTCGACCCGGACGTGCAGCCGCGCTTCTTTAAGCCGCGCACGGTCCCGCTGGCTTATCGGGAAGCTGTCGACAAGGAGCTGGAGAAGCAGGTTCAACTTGGACTGTGGGAGCCGGTACGTCACAGTAAGTGGGCTGCTCCGCTGGTGGTGGTCCCCAAAGCGGAAGGGGGGATCCGAATTTGTGGGGACTATCGGCTCACAGTAAATCGCGCAGCGAAAGTAGAACAATATCCCCTACCGCGGGTCGAGGAGTTGTTTTCAAAGCTGTGTGGTTGTACTGTGTTTTCAAAGTTGGACCTAAAGAGCGCGTACAACCAGCTTGTGTTAGACGAGAGATCTCGAGAGTATCTGACAGTAAATACCCCCAGGGGGTTACTGAGGCCACGGCGTCTGAGCTTTGGCTACGCGTCGGCCGTGTCACTATTTCAACGCACGATAGAGACTCTGCTGGGTGGTATCCCGGGAGTGGGTGTGTTCTTGGACGATTTGGTTGTGGCTGGCTCCGACGAGGAGAGTCATAATTCCGCCCTCCGGACCGTGTTGGGACGCTTGGCAGAGGCCGGTCTGCGCGTAAATGTGAAAAAGTGTAAATTTGGGGTTGACAGCATGACCTACCTGGGGCTAAAGATTAGCCGTAACGGGGTGGAGGTCACAGATGAGAAAACTGCAGCGATCCAGGCTGCTCGTGCGCCCAGCAATGTCAGTGAGTTGCGTCATTGGCTCGGGCTAGTTAACTACTACGCCAAGTTCCTCCGAGGCCTGGCTAGTACCCTGGCGCCGCTTTACCGGCTGCTGCGACGTGGCCAAAAGTGGCAGTGGGGCACGGCAGAAAATGACGCTTTCAGGGCTGTCAAGGTGATGCTGGTGGAGCCGCCGGTGCTGGCTCACTTTGACCCTGCCTTGCCGGTGGTGCTGGCGTGTGACGCCGGACCGGCGGGCCTCGGTTGCGTGCTGAGCCAGGTGACTCGCGACGGAGAGCGACCTATCGCTTTCTATTCCCGTTCACTGAGCGATACTGAGACCCGGTACTCTCAGACAGATCGAGAGGCCCTGGCTGTTGTGACGGGAGTTAAAAAATTTCATTATTTTCTGGCCGGACGCACGTTTACAATCCAAACAGACCACAAGCCCCTCCTGGGGCTCATTGGTGAGCAGAAGCCGTTGTCGACGATGACGTCGCCTCGCATGGTCCGGTGGGCACTGCTATTAGGTGCATACGACTACCGGCTCGAATATAGACCCGGGACTAAGCAGGGACATTGTGATGCTCTCAGCAGGCTGCCACCGGCCGGTGCGGCGCCAGCCCGTGTTCCCGTGCCGGCCGAGGTGGTCCATTTGCTGGAGTTTATGGATGCGTCACCTGTGACCGTAGCGCAGATCCGACTGTGGACCTCTCGAGACCCGGTCTTATCAGCCGTGTACCGGTGTGTGCGCGACGGAGGCTGGGAAGTAGAACAGGAGCTAGGTCCCGATTTTCAGCCTTACAAGTGCCGTGTTGGCGAGCTCAGTATACAGGAAGGTTGTGTGCTCTGGGGGTCACGTGTGGTCATCCCGCCGCAGGGTAGAGCGGCCGTGTTAAAACTGTTGCATGAAGGACACCCGGGAGAGAGCCGTACTAAGATGCTAGCACGCATGTATGTATGGTGGCCAAAGTTAGACGACGATATTAGCGAGAAGGTCAGAAGCTGTGATCGATGTCAACAGCTGAGGAGCAAAGCTCCCCCGGAGCCCCTACATCCGTGGCAGTGGCCCTCACGGCCATGGGAGCGCGTCCATTTGGATTATTGTGAGGTAGAGGGTCGGATGTATTTGATCTTGATCGACGCTCATTCAAAATGGATGGATGTGTACCCTTCTAGGCTATCGGATTCTGAGGTCACCATTGACAAAATACGACTGTCATTTTCAACCTGGGGTATGCCAAAAGTTTTGGTCACCGACAACGCCCAGTGTTTTGTGTCGCAACGGTTCGAGAATTTTTGTAAGATAAATGGTGTTCGCCATCTCACCACACCGTGTCTGTCCCCAAAGTCGAACGGTCTGGCGGAACGGGCAGTCCAAACTTTTAAAAAGGGCATTTTGAAACAAAAAGTAGGGTCTGTCGAGACGAAGGTGGCCCGATTTTTGTTTTCTTACCGCACAACACCCCAAAGCACAACAATGCGCTCACCAGCAGAGCTGTTCTTAGGAAGACAGCCTCGCATTCATTTAGACGCGCTGGTTCCCGATATAGAGCAAACTGTGCAAGGTAGGCAATGTGCGCAAAAAGAGTACTGTGATAGGCGAGCACGCGATCGTGAACTGTCAGAGGGGGACAGGGTGTATGTGTCAGCTGTTGATCGGCTACGTGGGCTGGAATCATATCGGTGGGTGCCTGGACGTGTGTTAAGCCGTAGCGGTGTGAAGTTCACGATTGAGTTAAGTGACGGTCGCATTATTGTGCGGCATGCCGACCAGGTCCGAGAGCGGTTGGGTGCTGAACCGGTGCCGGGAATTCCTAACTCTGGAATCCCTTTCAGCCGCCCCGCGCCTGTGATGCCGCCGTGTGTTCCGGTGCCCGTGCCGCCCGTCCCGGTGCCGGCTGTGGCCCCGGTGCCTGCTGTTCCGGCGGCGGCCGAGCCGTCATCTCCGCGGCGCCGGTCCCCTCCGGCCCCGGAGCCCGTGGAGCGGCCGGCGGCCGATTCTGCTGGCGCGGCGGCTCCCGTCCCCGACCCGCCGGACCCTCCTAGATATAACCTCCGGAACCGTGCGAGCCTGCGACCACCCGATCGATACTGACATGTTAATGTGCGCGATACAATTAAGTTCCTACATTTGTACCGCGCGGATGTTCGTGAGCAAGGGGATCGTTTTGTTTGTGTTTGTTGCGGTGACGGTCCTGCTATCAAGGATGGCGTTTGTAACCGGGGTGGAGGAATGTAGTAAAGTGACCGTGTGTGCTGTTGGGGTGCACCATGCTGGTGCACCCGCACCGGCCGGGCGACCGCCCAGGTGCACCGGGCCGGTGCCATATCGCCGCAGGCCGCCCCTGGCCTTGCCTGTGTCGTGTCTGCGGCCGCCAATACAATCAGTCTAGAACGGGAGCGCCGAGTTTTAACAGACATCATTCAACTGATGAATTTTGCCAGTTTTCACGTTTCCGACTTTGACGTCAACTAGCATTGCTTCCTGATCTGAAATGCCTGACATCGTTTTCATTCTGAGGCACTGCTGTCGTCCCTGGCACCCTATCTCGTCTGCCAGAGCCTGAGACATCAGAGTGACGGAGCTGCCCTCGTCGAGGTATGCGACACAGCGTCTCGTTTTGCTGGGTCCTGTTACGTCGATTGTGACAGTTTTCATCATGGTCGCGTACTTGCGTCCATCAGACAAAACTCCGACCATCTGAGCTTTGCCGGCAGCCGGTCGATGAAGAAGACGGTGATGCTCATCCTGACATCCTTCGATTCCGCAGGACTGCATCCGATGACAAGCCGTAGTCTTGTGTTCCGTGCTGAGACACCGTAGACAGCACTCGTTTGCCTTTGTCCACCGCCACCTCTCTTCAACACTCAGTCCACGGAATGAGTCGCACCGCGCAATCCAGTGCGGTTTGCTGCAGTAGAAGCAAGAGAGATTGCAGTCAGTCGTTTTGCGTGCGCGCTGCTCTCGCTTCTTCTGCGGATCATCCACTTTAGATGTGGCGTAGCTCCTCTGTCGAGAAGCCTTTTCAGGTCGCTGTGTTTTTGGCGCTCCAAATTGTCGGTCTTTCAAGTGAGAGTTTATGTACTCGTACAGCAGCCGGCAGGTGAGTGGGTGTCCTGCTTCTATCTGGGCACGAGCGAAGGCACCCCATCCCAGCTGACTCTCTTGAGGGAGTTTTTCGACGAGAGTGGACAGAGTGCTGTAATTGTCCAGCTCAGACTCGTAGCCGACCGCCTCTAAAATCGATAATGTGTTGTATATGTCGGCACAGAACTGACTTAAATCTCTCACATCGTTGCTGCGCACCTTCGGACGATTCATCACCTTTTCAGTTACAGCGTGCGTGATCAAGAACGGATTACCGAAGCGGCTCTCCAGCACGTGTAGGATCCGACTAAGAGAGCCTCCCGAGAGGAGCGTCCCGTGCACGGCCTCAAATGCCTCTCCTCGGAGTCTCTCGCGCAGATGTTGCGTGATCTGGAGGTCTGTGAAGTTGCCGCTATCACGGGCTTCGTTCACCTGCATCTTGAAAAACGGATATCTCTCAGCACGGCCGTCGAAGGCGAGAATATCCATCTTTGGAGGCTGGCTGATCGTCACGTGCGTCGGAGCAGTGACCACGGGAGCAGCTGTAGGTGATTGCTGATTCGTACAAGCGAGCTGTTCAGTTTGACATTGCTCCAGCTCGGCATCGTTTTGTTCACGCTCAGGACGAGGCGGGACAAGCGCAGCCGGTAGATGAGCTGGTTGAGGCGACTCGAGGTCAGTTCGCGTGGCACGTTCCTGACGGGCCTGACCCAGCTCCTTCTCCGCGAGGGTAGCCAGCTCGAGCTCGCTGCACGCTCTGTGCAGCTCTAGAGCGCGCGCGGCTTCTTCACTGCGCCTCTGTAGCTCATGTTCTTGACGCAGGCGCTCCACACGGAGTGCCGCAGCTCTAGCGGAGAGCACAGAGCAACGAGAGGTTGCTGACACGCTGGTGATCGCTGAAGTTGTTTCGCTTGCGCGATCTTCATCGTCAGTTATTCTCTGATGGATGTTTTCCATCGTAGGCAGATCCACTATGCCATCTTCGTAGCGTTTCGGAGGCCGTCTGGTTCTGTGGCTCCGTCTCGGGGTAGGAACCGGCGTTCGAGTTGCCATAACAAATCTACAAAACGTATCCAATCGGACCGCAGTGACGATACTTCACTTACGTTACGTTATGAATGCGTCTTTCATGTTCGACCATGTTTCAGTTTATGTTAGCATTGTAACGATTCGATTACGTTAACCAATGCACGTTGCAAGCTCGATTATGCTTCACACTATTCGAATACGTTAACACGGCGTACTAACGCATCAAAAAATACTTTCATGTATATTGCGGACGCAATATTAGACGCTCAATCATTCGTCTTGACATGTATTTTAAGTTAGACTGACGCGTAAATAAAACAAATTAATAACTAACAAAAAACATCCTGAAAACAGCCAAAACAGATGAAAGTATTTTTGCGTCTGACCTTAAAAAAGGTCAAAACGTATAAATTATGCTCCGCGAGAAAAGCCACGTGAAATAACACATTTTGTTCAGAAGAAACTAAAAATGTTTAGGGCACTTTCAGAGGAACAGAACTGAAATTATCGCCTGGAACTAAAATAACGTTTAAAGCACTGACAAAAATATGTGAATTCGTAACACGATCCCTTTTCAAAGCTATTATGAAAACACACAATGACAGCACGTTACACGAAATTCACGACACGATTATGCTCTTTTTGTTGACAGCGCACATGAAATAAATTCTCAGGAGCTTCTTTTGCAACATTTGGCCTTAACTATGCCCGCTATGACATTATTAAACGCGAAGTGTCCCTGTGACAAGTTGATATTTTTTGTGGTGCTTATCAGCGCTGATTCTACAATGCGACGTTTTAAGTAATCATCTGAAGAGTATAGTAATTTTGCTTCTTCGAAGTTCATTAAATGTTGATAATCTCTAACATGACAGAAGAGCGCGCTTTTCTCATTCGCTACCCTGATCGATCGACTCCGAAGTGTGGCTTAGAATATATATATATATATATATATATATATATATATATATATATATATATATATATATATATATATATATATATATATATATATATACATATGTGTGTGTGTGTGTGTGTGTGTGTGTGTGTGTGTGTGTTACAGGGAGTTTGAGAAATCCGTGAGTTTGCAAACTCCCTGACCCATCAGTGAGTTTGCAAACTCACTAGGGAGTTTACAAATTCACTAGGGAGTTTGCAAACTCACTGACCGGTCAGGGAGTTTGAGAAATTTCAGAGTGATTGGGCCAAATAAAAACAAATGTGCAGCATATGGGTGGCATACGTGCCGTCCGTGATGTTAAAACAATGGAGGCTAGCTCTAAGGCCTCGCACGCTGACAAAAAGCTCATAGATCATATGCACACCATGAATACCTTTTTTATTTTAAACTGCTCAGTGATTTACCCATGCATGTACCGCCGCTTCATTTAGTTATACATTTATTTAGTTCACGTCCCAGTTAGACCCGTTCCACTCAAGTGTGGCTATTCCAGAGTCAGGCTAAATATATCAAAGTAGAAACAGCTCACTGTTGGTCACTTATGCTAAAGTACAGGCACCCGCATCAATTGACGCCCATTCCCACTCCGCCATAGACGTGTCATCGAGAGCCGGCGCTGCTGGCAGCTAGCCCAGCTACGACTGACGCACGCTGCTTGTTTGTTTTTGTTTTGTTTTTTGGGGGTTAGGCCCTTTTGGTCTGACAAGACCATTTCAGAGTCGGACGAATGATAGGAATTATAGGGGGAGACATTGGTCTGGGCAGACACCCTATATGCAGAGTCGCCGGGGCTGAGCCCGTCCGAATTTACAGACCGACCAGCCCCCCAAGCACTCTTTGCACCCGGTTACGGGGTGCGCTCCCTCGGGAGCAGCGGTGCCGCTCCAAGGGAGCAGTCCGCATGAGATAAAGGTGCCTGTCCAGCCCGGAGTGGGGGTTTCGGCGTGGACGAGAAGGATTTCAGTATCCTGATTCCTGAGGATGGAAACGACGGAACGGAGGAGCACGTTGCTCCGAACCTCCCCTTTACATAGCCGCGAGTAGCATTTTTTCGGTAGAACAATGAAGGATCTGTAAGCTTTTTGTCAGCGTGCGACGGTTATATAGGCCGTACCACTAGTCGCTTTTGTTTTAACATCACGGACGGCACGTATGCCACCCTCATCTTACACATTTGATTTTATTTGGCCCAATCGCTCTGGAATTTCTCAAACTCCCTGACCGGTCAGTGAGTTTGCAAACTCCCTAGTGAATTTGCAAACTCCCTAGTGAGTTTGCAAAGTCACTGATGGGTCAGGGAGTTTGCAAACTCACGGATTTCGCAAACTCCCTGTAACATATATATATATATATATATATATATATATATATATATATATATATATATATATATATATATATATATATATATATATATATATATATATATATATATATATACAGGGTGTTGCAGATAAATCCGACACTTGAGAGGCAAAATACGAAATCGGCAACGAAAGCATGAATATTGCACACACAGGCCTGGGATTTTATTCAGCACCAGTTCGAGTCATATGCTGCACTTCTACTCGATGTAACCGCCGTCGGCGGCGACGACCATCTCAAGCCGAGGGCGAAATGATTCGCACGCCTTGGCGACCGTGTCCTTGTCTACGGCGGCGATTTCTGCCACGATGGCGGCCTTGAGAAAGTCGACGGTATTGTGTGCGTGCTTGTTGGTCTTGGCCTCGATCACGCCCCAGAAGAAATAATCGAGGGGGTTGCAGTCAGGAGAGGAGGGCGGCCACAAGTCCGGCGACCAGTGGTGAGGGACGTTGTTGAGCAGCCACGCCTGCGTCGTCCTGGCCTTGTGCGCCGGGGCGGAGTCTTGCTGGAAGACGTGGGGGCGTCCGTTGGCGATCCTGTGTTTGTGTTTTGGGGGAGGCAATTGATCATAGAGATGTAACATACTGCCCAACTTTTCATCGTGAGCATAGCACTCGAATAAACACGTTTTTTCCAAGTGTCGGATTTATCTGCAACGCCCTGTATATATATGCAACAAACTTATGCCAGATTAAATATAGCGAACAAACTAATAAGTCCACTTATTAGTTTGTTCGCTATATATATATATATATATATATATATATATATATATATATATATATATATATATATATATATATATATATATATATATATATATATATATATATATATATATATATATATATATATATATACATATAGTTATATATATATATATATATATATATATATATATATATATATATATATATATATATATATATATATATATATATTTGTGAAGTTAGGGAGCAGTCCATCTTCAATACATTTTTTCGAAAGTGAGCAGTCGAAAGTGATTACGAATGACGATGGCTTTGTTCTGATGTTAGAAATGAAGGTGAAAAATACACCAAAGGTAACATTTTATGTCGTCATAAGCACTTCGTGTAACGACTCTCAATATACATACATGGACAGCTCAACCTACACCGTAATGTCAGGGAATAACCTGAATAAATGGTTCATTATTCCACGTCTGGGCGGTGGCCCGGCCGTAACAAGAGCCGGATTAGGTGTTGTTCGATCTCCCCTTCCAGCTTGACTTCTGGGCCATGCGGTGTTCGAAAGGTCGTCAAAGACTCAAAATTATGAAATTTTACTTAAGTTCTTCTTTGGCAATGTTCGAAAGGGTGCCATTTCTAAAACAAATAGCTAAGCCATTTTTTAGGTCAGCCCAATTTTTGTCCATTTTTGGCTCGTAGCCGTTTTCTCCAGTTTGACCTGAAATCAATTCCTTAGAAGGCAAACACCTCCAAAAATGGACGATTTGTCAATTTTTTTCTGTGTAATTTTTTTTTTTACCAAAGGCGTTTCCGATATTGACATTACCACCATCGTCTTTCTAGCGTTAAGATAAATATTAAATACTCCGTACTCTCAGAATGAAATCCTGATACAATTTGACCTAATAAGGTCAGATTGAATACCTGACCGGAAAATTTGACTGAATGAACATTTGGCTGAATGAACATAAATAGCTGAACGCAAGGTAGCCTGGCAGAAAATAATAATGTTACATGTCGGTCTGTGCTCATAATCTTATACAACATACACTTATATGTTGGAAAGATTCGTGTATTTCCTAGGCATTCTATAGAATGCCTGAAACTCAGGCATTCTTTAGAATGCCTAGGGATTCTATAGAATCCCTGGTGGGTCAGGCATTCTATAGAATACCTAGGGATTCTATAGAATGCCTGGTCGGTCAGGCATTCTATATATATATATATATATATATATATATATATATATATATATATATATATATATATATATATATATATATATATATATATATATATATATATATATATAGAATATATATATATATATATATATATATATACATATATATATATATATACATATATATGTTACAGGGAGTTTGCGAAATCCGTGAGTTTGCAAATAAAATCAAATGTGTAAGATGAGGGTGGCATACGTGCCGTCCGTGATGTTAAAACAAAAGCGACTAGTGGTACGGCCTATATAACCGTCGCACGCTGACAAAAAGCTTACAGATCCTTCATTGTTCTACCGAAAAAATGCTACTCGCGGCTATGTAAAGGGGAGGTTCGGAGCAACGTGCTCCTCCGTTCCGTCGTTTTCATCCTCAGGAATCAGGATACTGAAATCCTTCTCGTCCACGCCGAAACCCCCACTCCGGGCTGGACAGGCACCTTTATCTCATGCGGGCTGCTCCCTTAGAGCGGCACCGCTGCTCCCGAGGGAGCGCACCCCGTAACCGGGTGCAAAGAGTGCTTTGGGGGGCTGGTCGGTCTGTAAATTTGGACGGGCTCAGCCCCGGCGACTCTGCATATAGGGTGTCTGCCCAGACCAATGTCTCCCTCTATAATTCCTATCATTCGTCCGACTCTGAAATGGTCTTGTCAGACCAAAAGGGCCTAACCCCCAAAAAACAAAACAAAAACAAACAAGCAGCGTGCGTCAGTCGTAGCTGGGCTGGCTGCCAGCAGCGCCGGCTCTCGATGACACGTCTATGGCGGAGTGGGAATGGGCGTCAATTGATGCGGGTGCCTGTACTTTAGCATAAGTGACCAACAGTGAGCTGTTTCTACTTTGATATATTTAGCCTGACTCTGGAATAGCCACACTTGAGTGGAACGGGTCTAACTGGGACGTGAACTAAATAAATGTATAACTAAATGAAGCGGCGGTACATGCATGGGTAAATCACTGAGCAGTTTAAAATAAAAAAGGTATTCATGGTGTGCATATGATCTATGAGCTTTTTGTCAGCGTGCGAGGCCTTAGAGCTAGCCTCCATTGTTTAACATCACGGACGGCACGTATGCCACCCATATGCTGCACATTTGTTTTTATTTGGCCCAATCACTCTGAAATTTCTCAAACTCCCTGACCGGTCAGTGAGTTTGCAAACTCCCTAGTGAATTTGTAAACTCCCTAGTGAGTTTGCAAACTCACTGATGGGTCAGGATTTGCAAACTCACGGATTTCTCAAACTTCCTGTACCACACACACACCACACAATACACACA